GGTGAGGCCCGGGGCAGGTGCGGGTATACCACTTGCTACTCGAGTAATGTTGTTATCCATGACCAGGAATCCACCTCAGGTCACCATTGTTCCTGCACCGCGTGCCTCCCTTCACAGAGACGAAGACCATCGTTATGCAGCCAAAGCAGAGTGTCGGCCTTCAGAGGCGCTCGCTCACAGCACTTGAACAGTCGACGCAGCGATTACCCCGTACACAAAGATCCCCCGTATAGCCATAACAGGCTGTTGGGGCAAGTGCTGTTAGCGTGCTGCTATGAAGGCCGGCACGGCACACGAAGGGGTGGGTGGCCAGCACCACGGCCGATACCTCCCCAGTGCTGTTGTTTCCACACATTGCGCCAGGTACTCGTTTAAGGCTGAGTCGACCTAGGGTCGGTACCAGTTCCAGTCGTTGTGTTAGCAATGGACTCGCTGGGGTCATAGGGTAGTGCGCTAACCATTACGCTAACCGCAATGACACTCACACACATGTAAATGGTGTGTGTGTAAATGCACATTTACTGCAATAAAATTAAGCACAGAAGCAAAAACAAGCCTTAGAATTAAAGCTGTTCAATTGTGCGGAATGGGCACTTCGTTTTGCCGATACCATTTATATTCTGCATAACGGCCCGTCACTGATACCGCATCGTCAAGCTTGTTTTTAAATGCGTATCGTAAAAAAAAAAAACCTCTACCATTGAAATAACCCCCCAAAAATACTTAATGAAGTGTGTTCCTCTTTTCTTTCATAATTCACAAACTGTCTCGGTGTGCTTGCCCTCACTGGGGTTTCTCAACTCGCGTGGCCGGCGCGAGGTTTTAGTTTATGACGATGGAGCCAGGCCAACGGGAACAGCGGGAACGATGCGAACAGTGGGAACGGTGAGAACGGTGAGAACGGCGGGAAGCGAGCAGGCGGGAGGGACCGAGCAGCGGCACCGCGGCTGGGTGGCGGGGCGCATCGACCCGTCGCCAGTGCACCAACACCCTGGCTTTGAGCCACGACTGCGCATTCCACTCGGGCTGTACCTCTGCAACTCTGTAGCCTGCAAGTCTGCCCGTCTCGTCTGGCCATACGCACGATCCCTCCTCTCCCTCCTGTCTGCCTGCATCCGACTACGCGGTGCGTGCGTCGTCTTCCTCCGGTGCGTGTGCGTCTGTGGGTGACGTTGGCCACCCCAGCCTCTTGTGTGCCGGTCCCCCCCCCCCCTTCATAGGTGCCGCTCTCTAACAGCACTTGCCGCAACAGCCTGTTAAAGGCTATAAGGGAATCTTTGTCTTTGTAAAGGTCTGGCTGTAAGAGTGTACGCACAATCTCTTTCCACCCTGTGCTTCTCTGTGCGTGTGCGTATGTACCTGGCTATATGAATGTACACATGTTCTATGTCCCTTTGTGCGTGTCTGTACGTGTGTCTGCATGACTGCCTGTACAGCCTTCCCTCTGTCCTGTCTCCGTCTGGGTGTGTCGTCTGTCTGCATCCTCTTGATCTCCCTCCTGTCTGTTGACAATGCCCGTGCATGTGTCTGTCTGCATGTATGCACGTGAGCGTCTTTTCTAGAATCAACTTCAACAAAAATGTTTTCCCGCCTATGGAGTTGAGCAGCAACATGATGCTCTTGTGGGCATGGCCACACAAAACCGTTTTTTCTGCATTAAAAAACATTAAACAAAGTACGCACACATTTCACACGAATATATCTTCGTACACAATAAAATATATATGTATCTGTCTGTAATAAGTGCCAATTGCAAAAAAAAAGGTAGGAGGCAGAATACTAAATATGGGGTCAATTTGAGCTTTCATTCGTGCTGAACATCTGCAAGATTTGATGAATACAGCAGACGCAATCGATTAATTGCTGTAGCGGGGGGAATGCCGTCCAATTCTTTTGTACGCAGGGGGGAAAAAGAAAGCGGGTCTGGGTTTCTAGGCTTTTGGCAGAAGGACAACCAAGCATCGACGTTTGATACACCGCATTTCGGAAGTGGCTCACAATACACGCCTCGCTGAGATGCATTTAGATTCCAAACAAGGGATTGGCGCTGAAAAAATATTGTTTGATCATTTCGAATAAGCTTACGGAGCCAGTAAACAGTTTGTTCAAGTTCCACCCACTACAATAAAACTCTAAACTAACAATAGTCTAGACGAGAGCCGGACAACTCTGAGCTCCAAGTCTGGATATTGCTATGAAAGGGTAAGAATTAGTGGGATTAAGCGCAAAAAACGGGCGGTTTTTGATGTTGCGCCAATCATATCTGGAGTGTTTTTTCAACCCAGACGGTCCGGAATTCTGGAGCAGCTGGGCTTGTTGCACCGCTCCGCACGGATTTAGAGGCGGGTGGCCAGAGGACAGCGCATGACGGTGGCTACCCCCCCCCCCCCCCCGCTCTTCTGCCGTCCCCACGCCTTTGTTCCGATTGCTGAGCGAGCGTCGAGGTGGGTCAGACGGCGGCGCGCGGCGCGTGACTCCCCGTTGTGGGAGGGTAATCGCGCTGTGGGAGCAAGACCTGCGGAGCCGGGAGATCAATGGCGGCGCAGAACAAACGCACGAAGCCGACGGTTATAAATCACCCGCGGCGCTAATGCCCACTACCACCACCGGCACCACCACCACCACCGGCACCACCACCACCACCACCGGCACCACCGCCACCACGACCGCCACCCACCGCCACCACCGCCACCACCGCCGCCGCCACCGCCACCGCCACCACCACCGCCGCCGGCACCGCGTAGGGCTTCGCGGTTCTGCCGCATGAGCCCTGCGACGGGCTCGCGAGCTGCGACGCGCGTCGTTCGAAGCTCCCCGGCACGCGGAGCGCAACGTTGTCGAAGGGCGTCGTGCCCGGCACCACGCGGCCACGGCCAGAAAACACATCGGGGCGGTGGGGGGGGGGGATCTTGCAGCGGCGGACGAGAATCCCAACAACCACAACAACAACACTACCACAACAACCACAACAACAACAACACTTTCACTCCAAGCACACCGTGACCAGACCCTGGGTATGTTGCCAAGAATCGCAAGGCAACGCTGTTACGTAAAATTTAAATTTAAATTTCATATAATCGTGACCAGCTTTCCAAGTATACCTTCTACGAATAAATGCGGCTATGTTTGGATCGTTGAGACATCTGCTGAATGTTTTATCCGACAGCGCCTGAATAGAGACATTACGTTCAGTCTCGCTCTGTAACGCCTCTGTGTATCAAATCCCGTTTGCTGAAAAGATTGTGCAGAATTCTTTAAAGCACTAAACTCAATTTTACATGTATACGTCGTTGCTGTCCGTAGAGTAGAGTGAGCGTTCTTAGTCACCATTCTGAAGCAACAACAATGGGCGTGCAAAAGGTGTAAAACACGATACTGGAGAGCAGGCGATGAGCTCCGACTGTGACAGTAACGATCCTCGCTGCGGTCTGAGACGTGAGGAGGAGTGGGGAGGAGGAGGGGTATGAGGGGGGAGGAGGAGGGGAGGCGAAGGGGGAGGGGGAGGAGAAGGAGGGGGAGGAGGAGGGGGAGGTTTCTGGCGGCAGAACCAAACTTTATCCCTAACCAACCCCAGCTTCATATTTATTTAAAACAAATTAGGCAGGTTTCTGTTCTGAAACTTCGACTTCGGGTTGTATAGTGCAGTGGAGTACAAGCACACACACACACGGCAAAAACTCTGTCAATCATACGTCCCGAAAAGGGAAATAAATATATAATGACGACGTTTCAGCCAAGAGCTTTTGTGCGATAGAGAAGGACCACTGCCCACATTGCCACCAGAAAGAGAGCGACGAGGAAGGGCCAAATACATATTGAGGAGCTTACTTGCACCTACACCGAGTGTTTTTCCGGTGCATCTTGCTCTTAAATTAGTTCGTTTTTTTTATTTGCGTTGAGTTTCGTTTACGACATTTAAACACCTCGTCTGTCAGTTGTCCAATATTCCTTAGTGGCTGTGCACTCGTTCGCTGCAATGTCGCCGACGTTGGCGCCTTCCTTCAGTTGCTGCTGCTACGCTCACGCACCACGGACCTCCCTTGCGAAAGACGTGTCGCCAGGTAACTGGCTAAGTGGGATCATCCGTGTGTAGAGGAGTAAAATGGGACGTGACGTCAGGTGTGCCGTTCAGTGCGATGACGTCACGTCTCCCAGGGTACTTAAGGGAGACCCCGTGACGTAAGCGGGGTCACTGTGGGAACGGGTAGAGTAAGCAGGGTGAAGAGGGAACCAGGGGTAGAGAGAGGGATCGAGTAGTGAGTCTGGGGAGAAGCCGGTGGTAGCCGTAGAGGTGCTTCTCTCTCCGGTCGGTGGAGTCGGCAGAGTCCACGATCCGACACGAGAGAGAGAGACCGGAGCTAGCAGGCAGGGACCAGGACTGAGTGTAGGATATTACCATATTAATAAAAAGTATACGGCCCTTGCCCCACCATCTTCTCCAACCATTATATAAACGGAGTGGTAGCTCCTGCAATCTCTCATTTACTTGATACAGCTGTCGTGGCTGTGACGGTACCACCTGAAGACGGAAGCTTGTGTTGCCTCCGAAACGTCGTGATTTTTATTTTATTTTACTTTTTTATGTTATTACCTACGTGACTTTACCGAAAAAACCTAAGAATATGAATCATTGCAGTCACGAAAGCTTTAAAAATAGAGTGAGTGTAGGAGCCCTAGCCCCTGGGAGTTGTGTACCCTGCTGTGTGTGTTTGTGAAGTCTTTAATAAACCCTCGGCGAAAGCCCTTAACTTACCTTCAGTCCCCGAGCGCGTCCGTGGGAGCTTCTCTACACGTGTAAGAAATAAATAAAAAACTCAAACTCATTGCTGTGCTCTTGCTTACAGTAGTGTATTTATATATATTCATATTTCGTCCCTTCAGGCCAGTGTTAATGACGAATGTGTTGATTTTTTTCCTGCCATTTGTGCAATTTTGATGAATAAGCACGAATATGTGCCCCCACCCGCGAGGAGACAGACGGCCGATTCACGGCAGCGTACCTGATCAGAGCGCGGGGCCCAAGGCCGCGTCACTTGGGGTGATGCTCTCCCTTCGGGACGCTGCAGGGAGATGGGAAAGGGAACGTGAACTCAAGGCGGAGAACTGTGGCCGCTTTGTGCGGGGAACACGCGCGCGCAACGTGAGCCTTTTCATTCTGGAGCAATTCGGCAATTGCAACGGCAATGCACGTTGCAGGAACGAAGTGCAAACACGAAGGCGCGCGGTCATCGTGACCTTGTGGTTTTATGGGTTACATAAAACAAAAGTCAACTCTCCTCAAGGCTCTCGGGGGGTTCGGACACACACGGCTGACATTCTTCGAAGCGGAAAGGGCATTTAAGAAAGCCTCAACGGCACACGACGGAAGCTCTAAGTCCACCGCGTTGCCTCGCACCTTTTCAAAACATTCAAATGTGATCACGCGCGAGTCCGGGCCACTCAAGCAGGGACGAGCACAAAACAGAACACGCCCGTGCGGTGCAACGCAAAGCATCGCCAATCTGATTGGAGCACAGTAAAATGTGTTACTGGTAGGAACCTCCTGGTTACACCAGCCCACAGGGGATTATTGTGTCCGTCCGTCCGTCGTGCATCCAAAAATGGGAGGGGTGGGGCTGGGTGGATAGGGGAGGGTGGGGAGGGGCTGGGTGGGGAGGGTGGGGAGGGGCTGGGTGGGGACGGGAGGGTGCGAGGGGAGGGGCTGGTCACCCCGTGGTGCCCTTATAAAACTCAACGTTTAACCTACTCACGCCGGCTTGTGCCCGCCCTCACAGTCGGGCATATTTGCGGAATACACCACGCCGCCGTTGACCCTGGCCATTGACCGAGCAACCCAACGTTCCTACCAGCTCCCTCCGCAAGAATGTGTTAAAAAAAATGTTTAGGCAATTCGTGACATATATATAACGGCCGCTCAGCAATTTACTGCAGAGTGAAGACCGCCCATGTCGTGCGAATCCCGAGGGCTGTTTGACCATACTTCACCACGCTGGTTCGTGTGGTTTGGTAGAGGGGAAGGTTCATGGGTGTTGCCCATGACGTGGGTCGAGATGGATAAATGTCTACACAACTGGATATGTCAAATACATTGATTATGATGGAATGACAATTAGTGAAGGCGAGTGAGAGACCATTGTAAACAGAAAGATAAGTTAAAAACAACACATGTGTAAAACTTAATATGTCTGAGAGCTTCATATAACCTCGGATGTGAGGTGAAAACCGCTTTAAACAGCACGGCAAAATACGCATGCGGATAAAATATATAGAGTGCGGCGGTTACACCGCCCACGGTGTAACAGGCCCCGTGTGGAACGAGGTGCCGGGAGAGTGCACGACGTTACGGACGACGTTCTACGCCAATGTCCATCGAGACGTTCATTCCAACGAGCGGTGAATGTGTAAAGCGCACAAGTTGAACATAAAATAAGACTCGCAATATTTAAGTTAAAGAAGATGAACGTCCTCAGATTTTGGTGAGGCTGCTGCGATGGCACTGGTGCACAAGCCGAATAACAACTAAAACCTAACACGAAGTCTATGATAGGTGACGTTTCGGGCAACGACCCTCCTTCACGGCACATTGAGAGGCCATAGAAGTTGAGACTGGACTGTTAAACATGTGGGGGAGGGGGAATCAACCTGTAGGCTGGCATAAATATAAATTAGGCTTTTAAGAATTATTGAGGAAAAAACCCTCATAAAAACTGAGTAAAAAAAACCCATTGACTTAAGGGAAGAGTTTGGAAGTTGATGAAATCCTAAAAAAATATAAGAGTAAGATTGAAATGGTATGGACGCCCAAAAAGGATGAAAAACGGAGAGGCCCCAAAAGCGAATTGAGAAGAAACACGTCAGGACAGCCACAGGGGCCGTCCAGAAGCACGCAGAGTGGCAACTTGAAGAAGCACGTGGAAGAGAGAGGCGAGGTGAAGGCTGAAGAGGAGGAAGAGGAGAGAGACGGGAGGGAGAGGCTACCGTGGGCAGGAAGCGGAGTACATTAAGCGACCTGGCGACACACCACGACCGACGATGACCAATGTTCCACCCTCCATTTTAAAACATGCAGTCCTCCGTGGTGGAATAAAAAAAAATCTGTATTGCCCATCAGTTTATGGACAATAAAGCACACGACTGTCAAATATTATCTTAAAATAATAGCTACCAACTATCAGACTGCTTATAAAAAAATATAAATATATAATACAATTAAAACTTACAAGATTATGCCCACGAATTTTTGTAAAAACGGACAGGACTTTCCCACACACTTCTTGGAAAAAAGACTTGGGGGATGTTAAATCATTAATCGCAATGGTTGCCAACATGTAAGCACACTTTGTTCCTTAAGCCGCACATCAAATCATATGCTCTTGCAGAAGTATGAAGCGCTTTGAAATGACATGGTCGAGTGTGGGGCGGGAAGCGTCATTTAAAATCCCCAGCAAAAATCCGCGCAGATTTTGTAGCTCCGCAGGAATACCGCACAGCACGGCTGACACTTCCGTGTGAATTGGCGAATTTCCCATCTGTCCAGACGCGAACATCCAGGGGTGGGAGGCCGGGAGGCCGGGAGGCCGGGAGGGTGGCAGCGCTTCGCCACTCAACCGCAACTCGCGACCCCCACGAGCGCTGCAGCGGCGCACTCCTCGCGTAAGCGGCAAAGGTGCGGGCCCTGAAATTTCCCGCTCACGCCGCTGCTCCTCATGGAAGGGCCCTCCAACTATAGAATCAGAAATATTTATTTATACATAGATGTCCAGTCGGGGGTGCTCTATAGATCTCCCCTCGAGAGTTTGTTTTGTCCGACTCTTCCACGGTGCACAGATGTCTTGGCGTGGGTGCTCCACAATGACAGAAAGCTACGCTGACCAGCGGGGAGAAGTATGGCCAATCTCACCTGATCAAGATGGACTGGGGGTGGGGGGGGGGAGCTTCATCCAGCAATGAATTGACGAAAGGGGCTGAATTTAGTCAATGTTATTTCATCTAGAAACCTTGCAGACACAACGTGAACATAAGCTTTGTTAAGCTTCTTTAAAAAATAATAACTTAATCTATTTGGCTGGCCATGAACTTGGTTCACTCGCCCCACCCCCCACCAGTGCAGGGTTTTTCTGGTCCACGTCCAACCCGGACCTCCTCCTGCCCGTCCCCCTCCTCTCTCGGTGTCTGTGTGCTGGCACCCTGACCTCTCCTCCGTGTCCGTGAGAGGCCACGTGGCTTCCTCGCTCACAGCAGCAGCAGCAATAAGCCTCTGTGTGCTGACACTCCGGCCAAATAGAAAGACTTGCCCCCCAATTACCAAGCGACTCGATTATTGTCCCACGTTATGAACGCTTGCCAAGGGACAAACGCTCCCTCTTCCAACCGAGCTGAGCACGTATGTGCATCCAACTTATTTCTCGCCATACGTGGCCGACCGTGCAAATCGGAGGTGCGTGGGGAAGGGCAAGAAACTAAACACAAAAAGCAGTTCCAAAGAAATGCGTTTTCAATCTCGATTCTTTAAAAGTGCATAGCTCCAGTGGATCCATAGTACCGGAAGGAAGAGCGTTCCAGATGGCTGCAGAAGGTGCATCTGAAAGCGTGGTTTGCCAGAAGCCGCTGCTGCGAGGATGACCCAAATTCGCCTGATGGTTGATGCTCCTTGACAAGCTCAGCAAGGTATTGTGGTTCATTTGTGGCAAGCACCTTAAGTGTGATGAGTGCGACCTGATAACGTATTCGTCCGGCAAACAATAATCGAATGCAGCTCAGCGAGCACCGGACGAAGTCTACGGAATGGGGCTCGCAGACTCGGTGCGGAGGACTCGGAGACGCCGCGTCGACCGTGCAACCAGAAACCTCCACATTCCATAGCTGCAGTTGGGGGCATTTCCACGTTTTACAATGCACGTTTCAGACGCTTTAAAGATGTGGGTAATCGTTCGTGTAATCGTGAAGTGGCTTTTTTATACTCGGGAATACGTCAACCAATTTGCACTGTAATTAAGATGGAAATAATGACCACCTTTCTGGATGATGGACAAAGGTGCAGGAAATACCCTATCGTTGGACGCACTCGATGACATTGCTTCTTCCTCCGTGCCGAGATTAAGATGGCGAATTCAGCGATGTGCATGTTGCCATACCATTGACTTCATACCGTGAATATCACTATTTTCGAAAACGCGAGATACATAATTACCTTTAAAAATAACACCCCATCATTATTAGGATAATTTAGAGTTTTTCTTTGGTATTTTGACTTGTGAGGTTGCCCAAATTGTAGAACTGCCGAAGGCAGGAGCACATTGTTCAACGAAAAGAGCAGGGAGTTTCAAATAAAACTGCATTACGTTCTTCGCTCTGATGATGACGACGCATTCGTATGTCGTAGGTTTTTGTTGCTGCCATGTCACTCAAATGAGTCAGCACTCCCCCTCTCCCGCACCTCTCCCGCACCTCTCCCGCACCTCTCCCGCACCTCTCCCGCACCTCTCCCGCACCTCTCCCGCACCTCTCCCGCACCTCTCCCGCACCTCTCCGCACCTCTCCTCTCCCGCACCTCTCCCGCACCTCTCCCGCACCTCTCCCGCATCTCCCGCACCCTCCCGCACCTCTCCCGCCCTCTCCCGCCCTCTCCGCACCTCTCCCGCACCTCTCCCGCACCTCTCCCGCACCTCTCCCGCACCTCTCCCGCACCTCTCCCGCACCTCTCCCGCACCTCTCCCGCACCTCTCCCGCACCTCTCCCGCCCCTCTCCCGCACCTCTCCCGCACCTCTCCCGCACCTCTCCCGCACCTCTCCCGCACCTCTCCCGCACCTCTCCCGCACCTCTCCCGCACCTCTCCCGCACCTCTCCCGCACCTCTCCCGCACCTCTCCCGCACCTCTCCCGCACCTCTCCCGCCCCTCTCCCGCCCCTCTCCCGCACCTCTCCCGCACCTCTCCCGCACCTCTCCCGCACCTCTCCGCACCTCTCCCGCACCTCTCCCGCACCTCTCCCGCACCTCTCCCGCACCTCTCCCGCACCTCTCCCGCACCTCTCCCGCACCTCTCCCGCACCTCTCCGCACC